GTTAGCGAGGCAGATGGAGGCGTAAACGGAACACTAAAAGGCACGGAAGAAATAGCCGCCGAGGAACGAGGCGAACTCCCTTCATTTCCATTAAGGGAGGTGGGGAAAAATATTACGGGGGGAAAAATATCATACGACACCAGCTCTCCAATTATTAACGCCTGATTCATGTCCCAGTTCTGAGACGCACTTGCAAAATCGAGGATTGAAAAATCTCACGATGATAACTGCCTACGATGGTGTCATTTCCGCATTGTTGGCTCGCATACGAGAAACGACAAGGCAATAAGATGGGGTGGTAGATAATTGCGTTGCGCGAATGTACAGTACCGTTCATGCGTCCACAACAGCTAATGCGCCGATAAAACGGATACATAAATTCTGATATCCTTTGCACAATAGCAGAGGAGTATCATCACATCCCAGTGACAAAAACTGACCTGAATTTATATGACCATATGACGTGCACGGATACACTACAATAGCACCTAGGCAACTCACATGTCAATCAACTCCATCCACAGCTAATGCCATCCCATGACTTTCTGTGGGGAACTGAAACTTGCAGATTGGATAATGCGAAGAAACAAAAGAATCGAATTTGGCAAGTCAGCCCATGACTAGAATCGCAAGGACAGGCAACGCCAAGGCCAGCATAAAAGAACAGTTTCATTCCTTCTATATCACAAGTGAAAACAGATCTGTGAGAGTGAGTATTAAAATGGCAATGCAGGTCACAGATGAGGATTACAGAAATGGTTGTTTTCTCACAGCTTTAAATAACCACTCCTGACTTGCAAGGAACACTACATTCTTGAACCTGCAAAATTCATTCTACCCTTATTGGTGTAGTGACACTCAAATGGAGCAAGTTTGCAGGAAGCACTGAGAAGATCTTCCAATTGGGAGAGAATGGGAGGGGGAACTTCCCTCTTCATGTACACGGTATATTTATCCTTCACTTCATCCACTCCCATTTTTCATAATGGTCACGTTGGACGGAGTTCCTGCATCTCCTGCTCCTGAAATCACCCAGTAAAACAACTATTTTCAATACCATATATATTGCCCTCCAAAAGACCTTGCAACACTTTTTCATGATCGAAATTCTCAGCACCTATAGGGTCATTCCGTGTCAAATCAACACGGTGTTAAAAGGTGACCTCTGATTTGAATGAAATTTGGCAGGCTTATTTGTACCTATTATAAAGTGATTCACAGCAATTATTGGGTTCATTTGACTTTTGTTCCTCAGATATGAGGCCATGAATATTTTGGCTTAAATGCCTTCCAGTCGCACCCTGAGACAGTCTTCTCTTCATAATTTCTGCCCTAATTGCGCTAGAGACCTCATCTTGGGATTGTTTGAAAGCTTTTTTCATGTCCTTTCCAGAGATATGACTAGTTTTTGGCTAAATGCTAAATGATAATTTTTAGTGAAGAGGTCATGGTAATGACCTTTGACCTCACATTACAAAAAACAACCATTTTAGATTTTGAAAAAAATTGGCTGGTTTGCAGGCAAGACATGTGGCTACCTCTGTGTTAAATTTTACTTTTGGCTCTCCAGAAGTTCTAGAATAAAAAGTAAAAGTAATTATTGCTACATTAATATTCTTGCACTAATTAATGCCTTTCAGCTGAATGCACTACAGAGAACTGGAAAACAATAAAAAGAAAATACGCTAATTGCAAAATCAAGTCAAAAGATCTTCATGGTAGTATATTCTCTATTTCTTGTTCTTGTGAAGACATATTGATGCATCCACCATCTCATCATTGGACAGTTTGTAGGTACGTCCTGTTTCTGTTGAGGGATTCACGAGTGAAAGGACTTGACTATGATGTACTCTTAGTTCATCTGATTTGTGACTTTAGAAAAATGAAGGGGCTGGACCATGTGGATGAAGGAAAGAAACAAGAATTTCCTCATTGTCTTCAAATTTCTCAAGAACATATGCAAGATACCAATGTCCTCCATATTCACATTTCACAAACCCTCTCATGCTTGAATATGACATCTCCATTGGAGTGTTGAACTTGACAACTGCAAATGTACTTGACTTTGAAAATTGCTTCCCTCTGATGATAGTAGAAGATAGAGGAATATAGCACTGAAGATTTTGTGTTCCAGGAATTGGTTGTATGCCTGCAAACCATCTTTGGAGCTTCTGTTTCTTTTGATCTCTGTCTCAAGGACAAACTGAAATCTTTTAGTTCTCAGATTCTCTATGGCCCACAAAAAGAGATCTCAAGGAGTCTGAATTTGTAGATCATATGGTCCTTAGAGGCTCACTCTTGCAGCTACCCTTTTGACTGTGCCACCCACACCATCACATGGCCTATGCCATGTGATGTGGCAAAAAAGTGCCACTCTGCTGGAATTCCAAAATCAGCCTCATGAAAGCAGAGGTTACAGAAATTCTTTTTTATTTTCATACTGGCTAGCTGCACCATCTGAAAAATAGGTAATCTTCTTGATAGGGCCAACTGTTGCCTCCTCTTCATGCAACAGTGAAAGGAGATGCTTTTCTGAAAGGTATAAACTGCAACTGTGTCATGTATAAGAGTATTGGATATGATGATAAAGCTCAAGTGTTGCAGTTCATTTTCATCATTCACATCTTTGTGAGGCATCTTAAAATAGCAAACAGAAGGATGAATTGTAGCCTGATTATTATTCCAATGGAATCCTTGTGCAGCATCTTGAAGAACAAAGGAGTAGTTCTCTGCAAAATCTAGAACAATGACTTTCCCGCAGCAAGGTTTTCCTTTGTCTCCTGAAGAAATGAAGATTGCTGCTGAGCAATGAAATCATGTTTTCTCAAGAAAGTCTTTTCAAGGGAGTAATCCAGAAACTCCTCAACACTTTTCACCTCTGTGTCCAGAGATCTATCTGTTGACACCTATTGCTTGGAGGTGATGGAGTCCATCATTCTGTCATCAAAGTATTTTTGGAGCTAAGCATGCACATGGAGCATTTGTATGCATGAAATAAAATGAAGTTTAAAGTGCTCATTTTTACTTTGGGTTCAATTGAAATAACACTGTTAAATGCATTCCCATAGGTGCCCATAATAATGTTGAATATTCACGTTAATCAATTTCATGCAAATGGCCTGATATCTCCATAAATTACCAAGCGCCCAAGTTAAAATTTGATACAGAGGTAGCCATATATCTTGCCTACCTTTCATCCAATTCTCATCAAAATTCAAGAGGGTTGTTTTTGACAATGTGAGGTCAAAGGTCATCAATATGGAGACCTTACTGAATGGTAACTTTTAGCATTTCTCAAAATGTATCAGTACCAATGGAAAGGACTGGAAAAGAACTAAAAAATGAGCCTAAGATGAAGTCTCTAGTGCAATTAGGACCGGAGTTTCAAGGAGAAGACTAAATCAAGGTATGGAATAAGGCATTTCAGCCTCAAATTTTGTGACCTCATACCAAAGGAACCAAGGGTCTAATGAACCCAATATTTTGTGTGAATTAGTTTCTCACCATTGTTGATAGGTATACCAAATGTCATCCAAATCTGAGGTGGGTCACCTGAAAAATGCCCTCCAAGTGTGTTGATTTGACACGGAATGACTCTTTTCCCATCTAATATCGACATCTTGAAAATACCAAATAACATCTGGAAAAAGCAAATAAAATGTTACAGAGTAATAGTTTTATACTACTTTTAATGCAGTGGTCAAATTGACTGTTCTGGTCCTTCTAGTGTTAAGTGGACAAAATAGAAATAGGTCTAGAATTGTTCACCTCACCAATTCCCTCCTTCAAATGTTGGACTAACTTTTTTTTCTTCTGATCAGAGTGACTACTCCAGTTTCTAAGGAGAGAGTCATCAAGTGTGCCAGAGGCCAAGCAATGAAAGTTGCTGCTAGATCCATACTGGATGGCCCCAAAAAAAAGGGTCCTGTTTGATGCTTTATAAAACCTGCTGTGGATGATCACGATGTTTATGTATCATGTTGGAAATGTCACAGAATTTGTTTTCTGAAAGTTTCATGTACCTAGGTTGTTTGAATAAAAATCAACAGTTGTTCAAAGTGGAGTCAAAAATGTACTTTTTCCACACACGAGATGGATTGATTTTTAGCACTGCTTGAAAGATTTCTTTCCCTTGACACCATGAATGCATATTTTTATGCCAGTTCGCATCGTAGTATTCTGAGTAGTATTGATTCTGATGTTATGATGTGCAACAATAGTACCATTCTACATGTTGAATACAGCAACAAGGACTTGACGTAAAAAGCAGTCTTTATGGCATCAAGTGAGAGAAATCATTTGAGCAGTGCTGAAACTCCATCCACCTCATGCACAAAAAAATGTACATTTTTGACTCTGCTTTGAACAACTGTCAATTTTTACTCAGACAACCCAGATACATGAAACTTTCAGAAAACAAATTTTGTGGTGTTTCCAATATGATATGTGGACATCACATGCCTAGATCATCCACGACAGGTTTTATAGAGCATCCAACAGGATGTTTTTTTTGGGGCCACCCATATTGACCATATTGTCGAGACCATTGGTCTTTCAAGGATCAAGGGATTTAAAAAATGTTTAAAGTTCATTTGTTTCTGTTGGCAGAAGAATTGACTGTGTTAGCAAGGATAGAATAGAATCTTCCAGATTACCTCAATTTTGAATGCTTTTAGCAAGTGTTGCTAAAAGCATTCAAAATCAAGCAAAGTATGTTTAGCAAGTCCATTGTTGAAAAGGATCCTGTCGTTATATCTACCACATGCTGAGAGCCACCAGCTCTATGTTACTCCTCTAATATATGACTGGATAAGATGTTACATCATTTCTCATGTCTTAATGCATCATAAATTACCTCTCAATTTATTTTTAGATTATTCTCACCTTTTTGTAAAGTTGATCATATATCTGATAGCACCTGCAGTTTATATCTTGTAAACTCTATGGAATTTTGTTTCCCATCGTGAAATGATAGTATAATTTTAAATCCTTTGTTGTAGATTGTGGATCCTACAGAGGTGTTTGCTGAGTTTCGACTGGCTGACAAGCCATTGACAGAGGACCAGATCATGGGTGAAGTCCTGAGTCTTCTCCTTGGGGACACTCGCATCTGGGGAGCTGGTGTTTATTGGGACCGTGATACATTTCCCAACAAGACTCTCTTTGCACCATATGCTTACAAAACACAACTCAATACTCGAAAATTCAACATTGATGATATGGCACGCCTCAACTCTACCAGTGAGATCAGAAATGGAGGCCTTAATATATTTATTGTACGTGATGTGTACATTGATGTTAGTCAACTCTTGCAGAAGAGGTGTACACCAACAAGAAGTGGTTCAAGGACCTTAAGGCTCGTTGGGCTACAAACTTGGAGTCTCTGGAAGAATTCTTTGTCAAGATCCACATCAGGTCAAATTCCTCAGGTCAATATGTACGAAAATATGAACGCTACCCTATGAGTTTCCGGTGAGGAATAGTTACCAATCTTACCAACTCTCACTGCAATGGTATTGGCTCCAGTAACAGTAATATAACTGGACCACAATAGAGCACCAAAACTGGAGCATGGATGGTGGTCCACTCCATTCTTTGACTGTGATGGCTTCCATCAACAATGGGTCGTCATGTATGCTGCTCCCTTTTTTGGCTGGGATTCACTTCGCAACAAACTCAAATTCATGTGAGTATGAACTATAAATTAAATGGCAGTTACATTTTTATGAAAGAGGTGGTTATTAAACTTTCTAACCATCAATAGGGGAGCAGTGACAGTTGCAATGGACATCTGGCAGATGGACATTGATCAGTGTCCAGACAATTATTGGGTCCCCAATGTCTTCAAGGACTCACACAAGTGTGATAGGAAAACATCCTATGTTAGTGTCTTTTCTTTTTGGTGTAGTCTATGGAGTACTTTTTTACAAATGCAACGTTTATTTCATAGTGCGTCCCCATTCTTGGTCGAGGCTTTGACACTGGAAGCTACAAATGTGAGTGTCTTCAGGGTTTTGAGTACCCATATGAAAATCTCATAACATATTATGATGGACAGCTTGTGGAGTCTGAGTATGAGAACATTGTCAAGGACAAGCCCTCAAGGTAAGACAAGTTGCCTTTATACCAGTACATTACATAATTGCCTAAAGTTTGACATCCCTCACTGGGTGTACCTCTTTCTTCATCTCTGTTCTATGGATGGAAGTTGTTAAGCTACCAGGTCCTGTGTGTTCCTAGCTACATTGTCCCTTTGGCTTGGAGTTAGCACCTTATTCCCATAAGCATGACCAGATCACTACAGTCACATTGTACCAGACTGTGCACTTGAGCATTCCCAACTTCTGTGCAGGGTGGTCCATAATAATGAACTCATTCCTCCTTTTGATGCATCACAAACCTATTTCTACATTACTACTGATTAATCATGGTGTTGCCTCGAGGTTTCATACTTTACACCTAGATTTCTATTTTTCAGAGTTTGTAAACTTAGTGCTGACACTTATGCATTGAAAAATGTGAAAAGCATGTGGAATGGTGATGAATATGTGGTAGTAGGTTAAATCCTACCCCTACTGAATTTGCTATTGATTTGCCATCTATAGAGTTGGCCAAAAAAAGTAAGCCATTTGAATATTTTTTAACTGATTGACTTGAAAATTTAATGATGAGTTGCCTGGTGTTTTCTGCAAAATTTCTTGTGCTCATTTACCTATGCTTGAGTTTTGGCGCTTTTTGTCAAAATGGTAAAAATTCTGAGTGAACAGGCATGGGATTTGTGAAGCACAAACTCACTTGATTTTTGCTTAAAAAATTAGTTCTGCAATTCATGTAAATTTTTAAACTGGATGATGTCAGATGTGTGTTTTTCACTATCTGGAAATGTAGTGTATGTGCTTGATATTTCTTCCATGCAATGCAAATATGAAATTATCTGGTGCAGACATCCTAGTGTACCAAAAATCATTAAAAAATCTCACACCATGTAATGAAGCAGAACAATAAATTATATTGCAACTTTTCAACAGATAAAGTATAGGTTGCATCTGGGAAGAAATTATGCTATTGGTCTATCTTGCAACATCATAAGACAGAAAAGCAAGATTCTGAAAGTTTTTTTTGGTACCCACAGGTGCTCCTACCAGAAAATTTCATAACATTTGCATGAGAATGTCCAGAAATTTCATGCATATTCTTGCACTACTTTTTCAGAAAGTGAAGAACATGCATGTGGCATTGTCCAGTAATATTTTCCTGATGATCCATCTGTAGAAACTGATTTTTAAAGCAATATTGAAATGTGTTTGTCTTGAAAAATCACTTGCCTGTATGCTCAGAATTTTGACAATTTTACAAAAAATGCCATAACTTAAGCATGGTTAGTCATAGGTGCATGAAGTTTTAAGAGTACTTAAAAGACCCATTTGGCATATATCAATAAACTTCCAAGCCAATCAGTAAAAAAAAATGATTTTCTAGCAACTTTCAAGTGGCTTACTTTTTCTTTGCCAACCCTGTATATTCAGTAGAGAGTACATTACATGATACATCATAAAGAAATTCAAGCCTACTCCTCTCAGAGCTTTAAGAATGGTTTCCACACAGCGACTGACTCTTCACTGGACATAACAATGAGCCATGGTGAAGACAGGATCTTCTGATTGATTAAATTTTGATGTAGTTTCAAATAGAACATCCTCATTTACACATGATGCACACATTTTGGAAACAGCAGTTTCCATTTAAAAAAAAATTGAAATTCACTAATAGTTCATTCACAAAATAAAAGATTACAGTTAACCTGAAGTTTTCCTTCTATATGCCAATGTTACTTAAAACAGATGAATAAATGTGATGAATTTCAAGTTTATTCCACAGATGCCATGATTCAATGTTGCACCTATAAGTATCAGGACTTACATATGATGCAAGTAAGACTTTTTTCACATTTGTATTTTATATTGACTTTCATTACTGGTGAATCCTGTAATGGAATGGTTTACAAAAGCAAAGCCAGGATGTAACAGTTGCAGTGCCCTATTGCAAAAGACATGGATGTCCAGTGTTTGCATTCAACTTTTTGTAATTTGGGGGGGGGGGGGGGAAATGATACACAGAGGTAAAATTGTCATTTTTGCAGGAATTAAATGGTATGCAGTTTTAAAACACCACTGGGGATGTCTTTCCTTGGAGAAGAATAACTAATTATTGGTTGAAAGACAGGAAAGGGCATGAGTAAGGAATAAATGAATGGGAATATTCCAGTAAACTAGGCAACAGGTCAGGTCAGTTTTCAATCTCGGTAATAATAATAAAAAAGTACTCATGAATGAAATTTTTAAAGTTATTTTCACACCATCTCAAGATGACCTTGAAAACATAGGCTGAGGAAATTATAAGTGGAGGGCTAATGACTCCAAATATCCTGCATGGGAGCTTTGTCAATTTCATATGACAGAATTAGATTTGCTAGTCAAAGATATGAATCCAGGTGAGAAAAAAATGCATGGGCATTTGTCTCTCTTGCTTGCACACAACACCAGAAATTCTTATTACCTCATCTGGTTTATATATTATGAGGTTAGGTCTTCACTTGTCCATACCTTTACTACATACTTGATTATTAAGGTGAACAAGTTACATTGTTTTGACACCTATAGGTAGTGAACTATCAATAAATGTTTCTGCCAGTGAAATTAGTTTCCCTAATATTTTTTAATGCTTTTCTTAGATATGACACCCTGAAGTGTCGATTGGCTGGTGCATCCACCATCGGATTGAACTGGCTTCTCCTGCCACTTTTGTTGACCCTGCTGCTGCAACCATAGCCATTTCTTGTTTTGTTTGAGTGATGTTAGAGCACATGAGCAAAACATACTTGCATTATTTGATCTGTGAGTTAAATCTGATATATTGTCAAGAAGCTCCTTCAACTGTTCATGTTCATTTGTACCTCTTCTTTTTTTTAACCTTTGTACTTTTTACTGAAGCAAATGAGCACTGGTTGCAAATGATGTGCTCTTTTGTCTTGAGCTTTATCTGTGTATCTCACCCAATTCCGTCCATTGAGACTACTACTTTGTGTCTATTTTTTATAAGGTATAGTATTTCCTATATCATTAGTCAAAGTGTAGAAGACATATGCCTGGTATTTTTCAGAACTCTTTTTATACAGAATAAAAAAATGATCTCAATCGTACATCTGTACATCTCATTTCTTGTAAATGTAGGGTAAGTGCATGAAAATCGACCCTTCCTAATCTGGCCTGCAAAAGCAACCCTTTACTTGGGTCCCAATAACAGATTCCTAACTGGTCTCCATGAAGGAGTTTGGTACAAGGTGATCACTCATTCTGGAGATTGCAGAAATGAATGGCCTTATGTACCAGCTATAAAGTATTTTGAAATGGCCTGTAAAGCTTGACTGTGTTTGAAGACTTGTTCCTGTTCCAAATTCAACAGGCTCGATTTTCATTGCCTTACCCATAAAAGCAGAATGAGATTTCACCCTTCCATCACAGGTGATTCAGTTTGTGAAAAATGCAAACATCATTTTTCTGTCTGAGAGAGAAGTTTTTGCATTTCTAGCTGACTCTGGGCAATATCATGAAGTGCACCCTGAATCTGGGCCAGGGTTGCTTCTCCTTTCCTCACCACTTCTGAGAGCTGTCTTGCAGCTTCTTGATTCTCTTGTTCCAATATCCTGTATATGCAAAACACAGGCCCAAAGTTAATGGATAAAGGTTGTGGAATATGTGTGAAAATTGACATGATATTCAGGCAAAAGATTTCATGACAAAAAAGAGCTTAGAATGTAGGCAGTTTAACCCTATGCATTATAGATATGTTTTGAAACACATGATGGTTTTGGGCATCTGCCATGAAGTGGGTGGCACCACCGCCCCTCCAATGGCAGTACCAGTGATGCTGCAATGTGCTGGAGGAGAGATGGCACCATCCACTGCATGGCATATGCTCAAAACTATTTTGTGTTTCAAAACACATCAATGACACATAGGGTTAACACGTTGGCGACAATGCATCCTGATGCCAGGATGCAAATTTTTTTTCAATGAATACCCTCTGGAACTGTTGAGAACATTCCAGAAGATTATGATTTCGTAATTACTGATAAAAATTTCAAAAAATTCAACATTTTAAAAAAACTCGGCAAAAGAAAGTTTTCTGGGACCATGCATCCTGATGGCAGGACGCATTTTTTGACAAAAAAAATGCGCGTGGTCCCACGCTGCAGACAAGCAAAAATAGCCTGGTCGTCAACGTGTTAAGGTGTTTCTTAAAGCTAAAACCCAGCATGTTATGCTGTTATGAAGGCAATAGGGGAAAAAAAAAAATTCATAGATTCAAATACACAGTGAAGATCTGAATGATGTTTTCTGTAATAAATAATACCAGAAATACATATGCTACCACTTGATGTGAGCACATACTTTTAAAATTAATATCAATGCAAAATTTTCTGAAATCAAAAGTGCATAATAAAAAAAGCCTGAGTAACTACCAACACCAAAAAGAATTCATGCATATATCCATAGTTGGGACTTTCACAAACATTTAATCACAAGTACAATATACTATACACGTTTTGGGAGCATTAAGTTACCAAATTACAGTAATTCTGAAAATCCAGAGAGGGGCATGATTTTTGCCAATACTAAAACAATGCCAACAGTTCAAAAGTTAACAGCTTCAGTCTAACACTAAGCATGAACTTAGGGTACTTTAGGATACTTGTTTCACTTCTGACCAGGTCTTCAGCTTGAATGTCCAACAATGTCCTACTTGCATTATCATTTATGGTTTGGAATATTTTACGTTTTCAGCTTTGTTTCAGTTCGAAGCATTGCTCAAAAGAGATGAGCCAACCAACCTGAGACTACTGGCCTGCAACTCCCCACTGAGATCTTCACTTGGCAGAGAATCAATTAGCACATCAATGTCTTTGGCGGTTCTGGCAATAAGAGTCGCAAATAGCTGGGCATAATCTTCAGCAGCCTGATGATCCATGGGAGTCTTCCCACCCCTATCGAAACCTGCGAAGGAAAGGGTCATTGATCTTAAGGAAGAAGGCCTTGGCCAATCCTTTCACAACTCCAAAGACGGGCGCCGCCTGCCGAGGGCTCACCGGGAAAGGGAGTTGGCGTTGCATGTTGTTGCAAGACTCCGATACTATTGCAGAGATTGTCCGCTTGCAAATTGACAGCATCCTGAAGCTGAGTCAGGCGATCTGCCATAATGGAGTTCAATCGAACGAAGAGAAAAAAAATCCAAAACCCAGTCGGAGAATATTTGAAGTTGAAAAGCGGAACTGCTCAAGAGTGCGCGGCCATGATTCCGTGTACTTGTTCGCGATCTCTTTAATGCGCATGCGCAGAGTGCATTCCAATATTGACCACCAGATGGTCCTGCGTTTCACGTCCCTAGTGCAGTGAGCACTTCACGTGCTGGCATCTTAACGCATATTTCCTTGCATTTGTAGCATAATTTCTCGTTAGTGCAAGAAATGATTGCCACCAATGGAATCACTGGCCTCGCCCAGAGGTTAGCCTAAGTCCTTTATTCTACCACGGCACTCCACTGAGAGGTTTACTGTTAGGCCTGATAATCGTGTCCGCTCAAATCGCGGGTTGTCGGATCTTGGCGGCACTGGCCAATGAGGATGAGAAGACGGACACGTCAATCAAGTCATTCATGCTGGAGGGTACGGTCGTCTCAACCAAGCTCCCATAGATGATGGAGTGAGCTACCCACCTGCCTCTTCAGGCTTATACTAAGTCGCAGAAGCAAACTGGCTGTGGGTCAATGGAATCAGTTTTTTTTTATTTTATAAATATTATTATAGGATTTTGAGGGTTGAAAGGATGAAAGGCACTATCACGAATTTCCTTTCTTTCTTTCCCTCTCCCCTCAATCATAGTTTTCCTGTCCAGCTGTCTGACCTCTTAATGCCCTTTTTTCTGCAAGTTTGTCTAGTCCCAAACAGGGCCACAATTAGTCACAAAGAGCTGCAGAAGTCTTATGTCAAACTTATAGCATCTTTCTCTACCTTGCACATCTCTCAAAAATATCAGTTTGAGATTAAGGCAAGGCCAAGCTCCTAACAATCTGACAGGTTATAATGAATAGATCCCTTTTAAAGGTAAATTGTTTGGCCCTTTCTGATACTGGACAAATTACCTTTCCTCAACCCTCGATTTGAGCAGATACAAAAAAATGTTCTAGGTGGCAATGTGAAACTTATGTGTAAGGAATTCCCATGTCATCCAATGAATTCTTTTCATAGGGTGTTACATCTCATCCCAAGAGGTCTGCCAGCATCATTCAAGTACCAGAAGCACACATTGCCAGATCTACCATATGACTACAGTGCATTGGAACCCACTATCTCAGCAGAGATCATGCAGCTGCATCACTCCAAGCATCATGCCACCTATGTTACCAACCTTAATGTGGCTGAAGAGAAGATGTTTGAAGCAGCGAATAAAAGTGAGGTATTCTTGGAGAAAGTCAGACCCCTAGACTACACTTTATGTAGGGCCTTTCAATAACAATGAAGTTAAATCAAAGCCTATATATAATTAGTATAATTTCAAAGTGTAAGATAGGAGATTTAGGAAATAGCACATTTCATCCCCTAGATGCCAAGGGAACGAATCTATATTTTTGGGCAAATTGGGCTACTGACATGAAGTGTTTATAATTGTATTTTAAGCAGTGAATCTGAAAGAAATGTAGGGTAATCTCCTATGATCTCAGAAATGTGAAAAATGCCTCTAGTTCCTTGGATAAATTGAGAAAAATGCTGATGCACTCATGATCATTAAGTTATTCCTGCTAAATTTTCATCAGCTGGTATTAAATTTCTAGGTGGAATGGTCTTGGTTATGGTATGCCAACAATGTACAGCATTTACTATGAGAGAATGCTCCTGGCCATCAACTCTTCAAGTTAATATGCACACCTCACAAACTCCATTTTGTGAGGTGTGCATATTAACTCTCCAAACTCCACCTCACATGCACAAACTCCATTTTACACTTTTTCTCTCTCCAGAAGCATCAGCACTTAGTTGTTACTGCTGATTGCTGAATGAATAAAAACAAAAGGTTGAGTAAGTGAAAGAACTCAACATCTGGGAGTGAGTTCCATAAATACCCCTTCTATGAAGAAAGTTGTGTTTTGCTTTATATATTGCTTGGGTCTATAAGGAACAGGTTTGCTAGAGACCAACAATGTTCTCTATGAGGTTTTCAGAGGCAAAAGGGAAAAAAAAACACTTCACTGTGAGAAGAAAGGGGAAGGTTGAAGCAATGTAGATACAACTGTAGTGAAAAGGCTGATTTGGAGAGGATTTTTGTGAATAAAAGAATAATATCCTTGGGTATTATTCTTGAATTCTATGAAGGCAGAGGTGGATGGATGGAGTGCTCCCCTCCATTGCAGAGGCAATCTATGAATTGCAGAGAGTAGTTTTGTGAGCTGCAGCAGTAGAGAGAAGCAGCCTTGAGATGAGTGTATGGAGGGCATGGCTGGCAGACTTAGCAGTGTTGTGTGAGCATCTCAAATTACCTAAGTAAAATGAAAGTGACTCCAAGAAGTTTGACTAGTATATGGGTGAAGAGTAGGTTCAAAAACAAGGTGGATAGAACAGGAAGGTATGAAGGATTGATTTTGTTCATATTAGTCTTCAGCTTACCCACTTGCCTTTTTAGGAATGAAGGCCTTGATTACTGGAGGCAAACCCATCTGTTCATGGGTCTATATCATCTGTGATGTCACTGCCAGTGTTGGTCATGTGTGCAACAAAAGTTGGCTATCCAGTTCTTGTGACGAGACTCCAGACTCAATATTTTGATGCAGGATGTGCTTGTGTATGGTAAAGCTTTCTTACTTACAAAATCTAAATTTTAGTAAAGCTAAGATGCATCCACTGGGATAACCATTTGAAAGTGGATGCCAGGTCCGATTCGAGTAAGGTGAATGTGAAAAGCCCAAAGGAAGGACAATCAAAGGCACAATTTTGAGATTGTGCTGCCACCTCTATGCTTTTGTTGTACAAGCTTTCATTTCTGATATTCCTAAAATTGGAAAATGATGAATGATACTATAATGATACTCTTGATAATTTGAAGCTCAGGGGAAATTCGAGTTAATGAAAATTCGAGTTATGGAGGTTTTTTTGATTCTATGTTCTACAACATTGTACATACAATACAAGAATACAAATCTTGTAACACTAACTTATTTTAGTATAATCACTTTAAAAAAGTCAGTCAGGAGAGTTTGGCGTGTTTTCATGGTGGCCTCACATTCAATGATATTTTCCAAGTGCACGATTGCATCTAAAGTCTCTTCAAAATTTCAAGGGGAATAGAGGTAAAGAATCATTGATAAGGCTACATGAGAAGTAAAATTTTGGTTAAGTAGTCAAGCTTCATGATCAGGCTGAGAGATGAAAAGATACCACTAGTCTGCAAGACTGGAATTGATGGCTTTTCAAGATTTGTTTCACTGATTGTCATCTCTCCCATGATTTCTCTTGTAGGTTCACATGAACCTTTCTTTAATATTCAGACATTTAGTTCCATTCAGCTTATTTTCCAAGTCACCTCACAGAATGTGATATTGCCTTCAACTTTGGTGAAGGTAATGCCCTCAGAGTATTACTAAACAGGGATTGTGCTAGGTTTCTTGCTGTATGGTCTCCTGGACCCTCAGGTCTGATATGGAAGGGTCCCCTGATAATTAAGGGGGTTACTTTCCTAATGAAGCACAAAAGAAACTTGAAGGGTTCTCCAAAAGTAAAAGTCCAGCAATCCATGTGTATTTGCCATAACCAAGCAGTGATATTCAATCCAGCAGTCGTAGGTCTTTTGGCTGTGCGTCCCAGGGGTCCTGGGATGCATGGGCAGGTGGACAGGGCAAGAATCTTTGCTCAACCCCTGCTAAAGTAGATGGATAGCTCTTTGAGATACATGTGAGCATGTTGCACACTTTTACACAATTATAAATTTCCCTCTCCCTTTTTTTATATTATAGAGGATGTGACAGCCATGGTCACTCTTCAGCCAGCATTGAAATTCAATGGAGGAGGTCACATCAACCACTCTATCTTCTGGCAAAACCTCTCACCCAATGGTGGTGGAGAACCATCAGGTGCCCTCATGGAGCAGATCAAGAAGGACTTTGGATCCTTTGAAAATATGAAGACTGCGCTTTCCAATGTTACAACTGCAGTGCAGGGCTCTGGTTGGGGATGGCTTGGTTACAACAAGGCAAACAAGATGCTTAAAATCACCACTTGTGCCAATCAAGATCCACTTGAGGGAACCACTGGTCAGTTTATGACTTCTTCAGACCTTGTTGTGGTTCAAAATAATTGCACAAACCTTTCTCTCTACAGGATTGGTACCACTGCTAGGCATTGATGTGTGGGAGCATGCTTACTATCTCCAATACAAGAATGTTCGTGCTGACTATGTCAAAAACATATGGAATGTTGTGAACTGGAAAGATGTGGAGCAGCGCTTCAAGAAAGCTAGTCTTTAAAGGGAAAGATCTGTATCTTCAAAGATCAAGAAAGTCTCACTGATAGTGGGATTCTGTCAGGATGTAGACAGTTTATATTCTCTAACTAATGAGATGGGCAATTGCAGTGTGATCTATATATTTAAGTGAATTGTAATTGACAATTGTGATCTTTATTGAAATTTTCATGTTGCAAATTCTTGCTTCATCTGTGAAACAACCTCCCTCCCCTACAAGGAAAATAAAACTGAAAAGACAGGCATTATTATCAGCAATGGCAACTTTGTCAAGAGGGGTATGAAAGGGCACCATGTATCTCCAATGAATGAATGTTTTATACAAGGAAGTTTAGGGACTTTGTAGTTGATGAATGCGGTCAAGGACTCTCACAGTAACACGAGAAATGTGAGGCTGAGTGATCTTGGGTGACTTAGGAGTCCTTGGATCTGACTCTTGCTTGAAAATCTGGGAAATCACAGGCTCATCAGGAGTTAATTTGGCACCTATACAGAAACAAATCAGTTAATGGAGTCAAAACTATCTAGATAAAAATAGGGTGGGAAATTTGCCAATCAATGGCTTTACCTGTGATGGCACCCAAAGTGCTATTCTGATTAGTACAAGCATTAGCTGTCAGCTCAGGTGATTTTGGAGTACCTGATATACTCCCTGTCTTGATTTTAAAAAATTTTGGCAAGTCAGGTTCCTCAGGAGTACCAAGTATTTCTACAAAAGAAAATAATTTTCTTGAGATTCAAGTGTACCTGCACTCCTAAGGGATGTGCATTCAAGGCCCTTACCAAGTCTAGAGTCATTAGTGACATCAAGGTTCAATGGTTTCCGGCATGACTTGCTACATTCTTGTATCACAGTACGCTGCTGCAAACGAATTACTGGCTTTTCTTGGGATCTGGATCGGGTTCTATGCACAATGAGACCTGGGCTAATTTCTTCATCCTCTCGTTCCTCCTATTTCAGGTCAAAAATAAAATAACATCAAAACAATCCATAGCAGTGGCTATATATCTCGTATAAAAAGGCAACGTGCTTGACACATTTTTTTCATTTCATCAATGAATACACATACCTCTTCTATTCCATGGGTGAATTTTTTCTCCTCCTCTCTTCCATAAAGAATTTTGAGTTCAGGTTCTGGGTAGAAGTCATCCCATGAGCATAAAATATTTTTAATTCAGGAAAAAAATAGAATATTTGAATGATACTCACCCTTAGGTGTTATGCTACAGGAGATGCCTATGGTTCCAAAACATTTGCTTTCTAGCTCTGTCACTTCCTTGTCATCCTCCTTTCCTTTCTTTTCATCTTTTGCAAGGTCTTCCTGTTCCTCTGGCTCAAACAGATGGGACTGTTTGAACAGTAGGAGAGCCCCTATGTCAATGCGATTCTCAAAGCCATAGCAAGTGTCTACATTTGACAAAAATCTACTTCCAGAATTGTAAACAAGAGCAACATTTTCCTCTATATTCATGGGGAAAAGAGCACATCTGGATTGATGTGATGACTATGCTCGAAGAAAAAGAAAGGGGGTGGGAGGAGTGTTGTAGATGAGTGTTTCTTGACAGTGATGACTTGGGCAACAGGTGCATGACCTAATTGGCTTGTGGGGTTCTCCCTGGAGCCACACCCCAGGGTTCATCCTTAAGAATTTGCTAATTCATACATATATGCAGCAAAAAAAACTTATTTAATAATGTATTTTTAATTAAAAATTTACAAAACTTAGTTTTTACATTTTATAGCTCAAGGCATGTAATCATGTAGGCACCAGAAATTTTTGCAGTTTATGGAAAAGTAACGCAATCTTCTTTCATGAAAAAGCTGTGGTCTTTTGTCCTAGTCTATATAATGATGGAGGCAATAATAACAATACTACAGGGTGTGCATTTTCAGCAGTTATCAAAAAATGAGTTTTTCAGGTACCTGGGATAGAGAAAAATGAATATTATTAGTGTTCCAGAATAGAGAATTTAGTCCTCTTTAAGACTATGACAACACAAAATTTCAGCTGGCGATGAGAAAAAAAATCATTATGTCAAGTTACTTTATGGAAACCCTGTAATAACACCCCAGACATCAGGATTAAAAAGGACCATCAAGGTATCATTGTACAAAGAGCATGCTGATAAACACCAGTGGATGTTCAATTATAACTTATAGCAATTCTACTTTTGCTATTAAATATGAGACATTCAGTGAAACCATCTTCTCTTCCAGCTTCTCTCCTAAAAACAATGGTTCTTGAAAATCTTAAGCCTTTTGCTGCCATAGTATTGGTCATTGAACAAATTCAGATACATAGTGCAAGAAACATATACATGCATATATATAAAGCATGGCAAAAAAAAAAAAAGACCAATGACTTTTAACCTAAATATCTCTGTTCCCTCTAGAGCAACTTTTGCAAAACTTACACTGCATATGTTTTCAACTTATTCTCAAATTTTCATTTAATTTTTTGGGCTGAAGTAATACGATAAGTAATTATTGAAAATAAATTAGATATTGAGAAGGTGCAAGAAGCTCCTACTGGTAGTAGAGGAGGAAACACACTATCCTTCTTGGTCAAGACCCACAACATCTAACTCCTCTTCCAATTAAATTCATTATTTTAGCTGGTCGTCTCTTGCAGATGGTTTTCATGAGCTTACTCCTTGATTCATCCCCTATTCATTGGGAATATCAATCCAGGGAATTTTTTCTAAGTTCATTCAAAATTTCCTTGGTTTAAGGAGAACAGGGCAGATGAGAACTGAATAGCATGGCAAAGAAGACCAATGACTGAGCACCTATCTTAGGAATTCTTTAGCATTTTCCTAGCAATTTTGGTTAGAATGAGGAATGTCTTCTTTTCTTGTGTGAAAGAAAAGGCATTCCACATTCCTTTTGATGAAATCTGAGTTCTTAGCTTGCTATCCTTCTGAAGTAAAAAAAAAAGAAAAAAAATTTCATAAGCCTACAGATGCTTATTTCACAGCCAGATATATCAGTGCCAAGAAAAGCACACCCAGAAATCAGTGTTCCTCCTTAGCAGTTTGCACTTCTAGGATACAAGTTTTGATATTAATAAAGATTAAAGGTCTTGTAAAGTGCTCATATGAAGATAAAATTAAAAGACAACACAGGAAATGAAAAGGCCGCTGAAAGAGCTTTAGACATATTTATACTTATTTTATACATCACTCATTCAACCAAAATAGTTTTTGAGATAAGTGAAACTTGCAAAGAGCGAACTGTGCAGAAGCCAGAGGTGGATCCAGGGGGGCAACCACCCCCCCAATGGCCAGGTTAGCATTAAATTTTGTTAAATTTTTTATAGCTTCTACATTAATTTTTAGTGGGGTCAGTAAAATAGATATTCAAGTTTTTACTCCAGACAAGAAATGAAAAAGTGAAAGGTCAGGGAGTGGTGGAAGACTGGGGCTGAGGTAGGAACTAGGGAACTGCCCTCCCCATGAAAAATTTCTGTATCTGCCACTGGCAAAGGCACAGTCAAAATTTTGTGTAATTATATCCTAAGAACTACGAGAATGAATTTAAAAAATAAAAAAACATTATATTCAGCCATGAAAATTTCAAGCAAATCCATCAATCCAATAGGCTGTTGGGAGATTTGATATGGAATGATCCTGATGTTTCATGGTTACCAACAGAACCTGAAGACTGCACTTTGCCAACCCACAATCAGCAAATTCCCAACAGGTCACAGCCTGGCAACCCCTACGTTACCCTCCTGTCTCTCTTCAAAAATAGTCAGCATAAAAGAAAGATGCATAAAACACAGCAGGAAAATCTTCACCAGTCCCCTTGCTATGCCATCCACTTGAATAGTATGGGACACTTCCCATGGATTTGTTTGCATACAAGGTGGCAAAAAGCTTATTTCCTGTTTCCTTGTTTAATGCTTTTGCATCTGTGTTTTGCCATTTCCTTGCATGGTGATGGCTAAAAATCAAGATTAATGAAACCACTATCATCAGGTAACTCAGCTTATCTATATTGTATTACTAATGTCCAGTCATTTAATTATGAACTGGCAAGGCTCAAAATCCATGAGAAGTTAGAAGACATACATCCCAAATGCCTTCTTGTCACTTATCTTGTCAATTGGCAAGCTCTATGACTACCTTTGCTCTTCATTGCACTGTCAGCCACATTGGCTGACATGGCAGCGAATAAAAGCCTAGTGTTCAAATTACTCATTAGTAGGGCTGTACCAATGGCCAGTGGGCCAATAGCCAATTTGTATCTCATATCCATCAGCTGGTGCCAATTATTGTAAGAAAATTGAGAAGTAATTAATATAAATTGCATACTAATTCTAATACGCCTATTTGGAGGCCATGTGATACTTGTCAGTGGGCTTTATAAAAACGATAGACCACTTTTAGTACTGTCCAGCCTGTCTGTATCAATCAGCAGTTAACTTGTTACCTACTGTTGCTGTTCAGAACATTTAATGACACATCTCTCACAAAAGCATGACATGTAATGATTTCCCATTCTTTACTGCTATTTTCCTCTGCCAGTTCATAAAATAGGGCTGAAATATAATTAGATTGATATTTTTTGCATTCACATGTTCACTTGAATTACTTTTAGTAATTTTGCCTGCAGGTTTTACCTCCCTTGTAGGCATTGCCATCAGCAGGCTGCAAACTTGCCAAGGCCAATGGCACCTTTTGTGCAACACTGGCAGCCAATATCGATGGTTGCCAATATGTCAGTACAGCCCTACCTAATATTGACCAACCCCATGGGAAGAGTAAGCTTTGATGAAAGTAAGGTTTCATTGATAAGTAAGCTCATCAAACCTGAATCAGTACACTATTGCAGCAAGGTTCTACTTCTCACCATTGAAGAGGGAAGAGGTTTCAGTGACTCCAGTTCTAACCCAAAAAGCTGAAGGCATTCTTGCATCTTCTCAATCCAGTGATATTGCTTCTTGCATTCAGCCAAGAGGGAATCCCTCTGTTCAGTAAGTTGGCCAACCTCTTTATCCAAGCATGATAGGAGTGCTTCCATTTTTTTCTGAAAAAAAATAACATCCTTTGAATAAAAGTTCACATAAGCTGAGATTTGAAATGACATTGGAATTGTCACTTGGCAACAAAGTTTTCCCCCTCCTTCACCTTAAATTTCTTTTATTTTCACCTTTGCAGAAGAATGTTAGAACCCTAATGGTGTAAGCTCTTATTCTTCTTTAGTCCTTGCTCTTCACACTAAATCTAATTGAGAAGATAGTTTTGTAAATTTAGATTTAGAAGATTTATTTTATAAAACATCTTAGACACACTTGTGATTCAAATGATAAATTTCACACACTGGATCAGACACTTTTTCACTAAACTCTGACACTTATTGGCATAGGTGTTAGAATCATGAGAGAAAATGTTACTCCAATGAAAAGAATGTATTAGTACAGGCAAGCTAATTATAATTTTGTTTTAAAAGTATTCATTGTTCAAGCCTAAGTCAATGTTAACTAATTAAATTTTTTTTTATTATCCAAAACTATGAAAGGATGTGAAATGAAATTTGGCATAATTATAGCTCCATGCTTGATTATGGTAGATTGAATTTCATTTTAAAATGTTCAATGCAAATGCCAATGCAAATGCAAATTCCTCCAAGGAATGACAGCAGATTTTTTCATTTACCCAATCCCTTTAGGACATTTTAGTACCATTGAATATGTAATTAGGTCCCTAAAATCGCTTTAAAAAAAATAGAAAAAATTCCCTATTTCTAGAAAAACTGTTTCCCTCGGGACATTTTTAAGGGTTTAAACTGCAACACTTGTCAATTCCACCAAATATATGTCAACCATCTGTGAGAATTACTGCTTGAAAAAGTTCATTTTTTGGTGCTCTGGTGGCCATATTGGACCTCATTATCATAAATTCTGCAAATTATCTCAATAAACACAATATTTGCCCAATCCTTTCACATAGTCAGTTTGGTTTCTGGGAAGGAATAGAGATGGAAAAAATTGCCTTAAAGTAGGTCTGCTACCATAATGCAGAGTGTCTAAAAAAAAAAGCTAACAATATGATGACAGATTTTTCTTGTAACATATTGACCTTGAATTTCAAGTTTTGCATCAGTTAAAGCAGAAAGAATTAAGATTTCTGCTATTGAAAACCTCAAGAAAATTTACAATTTTTGAAATGGGATATGGAAGTAAAAATTACACACAAAATAAATTTATGCACCATGACCAAAAGACACAATCAAGATGTGCTCCTGCTCTGATTGTAGAAATTGAGAGCAATGGGTCACCAAAAAGATTCTCTCTTTCAATGAATGTTGTGGCATTTTTGCTGACCAATACCCAAGATCATTCTACACACAGATGATGAGGTTCTTCAAGTACAGTTGACGCTCCATATAATGAACCCCTATCTAACTAATTTTCTTTACTTATTACTTATATTATACTTTACTATTTCCCAGCTACTTTCTCATTCACATGCATTTTGGAAATTTTCTGTATTACTAATTGTTTGGTTTTACAAAGTTGTTTTTTCACCTGAAGGAACAAAACTATTCCGTATTACGAAGTTAATATCTGCTGCACATGTCAGAGCTACTTTCTTCTGAGCATTCATCGAAAATCTCATCTTGTATCTAAATTTAGCATGTCCAACCTACTTGTTGGTGTGGCCGTGGTAAGGGAACAATGTCAATCAGTCTTAATATTCTCAGGTCTAGTCTAGAATTCTGCTTGGTCAAGCAACCAAAGCCTTCGACTGTCACCAGCTATTTTTTGGTCAGGCTGAAAATTGAGCATCAAACATTTAAATATCAAGTGCTCTGCAGACCATGACTCAAAGAATCCTCCAAGATAAGTGCATGGCTGATGACCAGTTGGGACTTTATTTCCTTTGAATAGAGAACATTGCTGAAGACATTCATATTCACTTTATGAAAAGACAACGACCAAGAGACATTTTGAAGTGAAAGTGACAACGGTTTAACAGATTTCTCTTTTTTTCCCAGCAAAATGAGGAAAATTCCCTGTAATGAATTTTCCTTATAGCAAATATTTTAGCCTGTCCCTTTGAGTTCATTATATGGAGCGTCAACTGTATTAAGATTGCTGGATTCTCTTATATTGGCTGCTCTTGATGGTTCACTAGCATGTCTGAATTTAGCCAATGTAAACTGCCTAAACATATCAGGCTCCTGGGTTCATTGAGCATCATTAATTGTCATTAACTCTTTCATGGCTGAAGTAAAAAAATGAATAACTAGGAAATTTTTTCACCGCTTTTTCTATTGAACAGGCCTAGCTAAAGATGGAGCTTGTAGAAAATTTCAAATATTTACTCATATATTCAAAAGCAAAATTTTTTAATTACAAATATCATTAACTGAAAATATTGAATAACAGGCTATTGTTCACAAATGGGGAGCCCCTAAAACTTGGCCTTCGTCCCAATTTTATCTGTCCATTCTTGCAGCATACGGGCATAATTTTACCTTTTCAAAAAAAAAAGAGAAAACATTCATACTTTTTTGTCCAAAATTCCATTTCACAAAAAATCAAACATATTGGGTCACAACTTTTCTTTTTGATCCAGCTTGCCTGAACTACAACCTATTTGAATGAATGATGCATCACCGAAGAGCCCCTTTCGAGAGCTATTAAGTGGTACCATATTATACAGGTTTTGTTCAATGGTAACCGCAAGAGCAGTCTCAAAAGATATGATCCTTATAATGATCATACACCATGAAAGGGTTAATTATGATTGCATTAAACTCAATTTCTTCTCATTTCAACTTGACACAAAATTTTCATTAAAAAATTATAAATAATAAGAAAACTCAATTCTTGTAGTTTTAACTATTTCTTTTAAAACTCCTTATAGTTTTGTAGTACACCAGCCTTACAATTCTATTATGTATGCAATAAACCTGTCCACATGCAGAGTATACATATTTCTAAACCTCTCTATGTTTTAAATAAATGCAGCCAACTCTACATATTGGAATACTAACAAAACCAGCAAACTTTATTCTACTACTACATGGGTTGTTCTGAAAGTCCAGTGAAAATTATACTTCTCATAATGTCAGAAGCTGACTTTTTATTCCCTTTCTTTCTATAGGGTTTTAGAAGCTCCAGTGAGTTTTTGCATAATTGTTTGCCTAGCACAAGTGCCAGATTTTTGCGAAAACATGAGCCTTCTCTCATCTTTTGAAGTTCGGCTGTGTTGCTGTGATCTTCATGCAATTTTTCCTGGAGTTTCAAGCTCCAAGAAACGTTCTGAGTGCCATGAAAGGCTTGTTAAAGCCAAAATATCATGAACAAACATTTCAAAACTAGAAAAATAGTAGCCCAAAAAACCTGTCTGACAGACCAGAGAGAATTTCTGCAAAATGCTGCTTCTAAAATTCTACTTAAGGCAAAAAAACATGTCTGTCTTAAGTTTTGATGAAACAGGGCTCTATCATTATTATATGCCAACTAAAAATTAATGTTGAATCAAAGTCTTTCAAGGCCCTCAGACAAATTTTGCAAGCCTCTCTTTCCCCCTTAAATGGGGGCCTTCATGGTTTTGCAAATTTCGCTCATTCACGCTAGGAAAAAATTCACTGGAACTTAAAAATCCCTATAGAAAAAGGGAAATAAAAAGTCAGCTTCTGGCATTATAACAAATATAACAATCACCAGATGACAAATATAACAATCACATTTATTTAACAATAACAATCACCAGACTATAAGAACAACACATGTACAATCTGGAGTATTCCAATAATGAAACTATCTGCTGTATTGTATCAAAAACTGGGACCATGCAATGGTATTCCATTATGCAGAGTAGACTACAATACAATTATATTGTGACCTCATCAATTCATTAAAAAAAAAAAGCACTTGCAGTAAAACAAAACATTCTCAATAAAAACTCATCTAACTAATAAATATTTCATCTTAAGCAGGCTTCCACCTTACTCAGGTTCCATTTTGGACATCTTTTACAGTATTATACAAATAAATAAATAAAGTTTTAAATACCAACAGCTGCTTCTTTCATCTAAACCAAAAACAAATCAAAATACATTAGTCATTTCACTTGCTTTGGGGAGGAGTGTGCTGAACCCCCGGAGACAGAATAAGTCAGACTAGAGAAGCAAAACTCATGCTTTTTCTGCAAACTATAGTTTATAGTGCAAACCCATAAAATTTATAGAATCAGGAAATCTGAGCACCTAATATTCGTCCACAGTAGAGGGAAACAACAATGGAAATAGTGGGAAGGCTGGATTTCTGCCTGAAATACCTACATGCAGTGATTCTAGGCCTAGCCATACTGTTAACCCTACCCCCTCCAATCACACTTTATGTGGCCCCAACACCAACTTCACATGCTGAGGCTAACAGCAAAACTGCACAAGAGCACAACTGATTAATGCACTCCATGTTTTATTACAAGAGGAAATGTAGTTAAAAGGCATTACAAATTTCATCTGTTCAGGAATGAAAAGCTGAAAAATGAATGCTATTACACCTGGTAGTCTTCCAAAACATATGCTTGGATACACATGTCCTAACCACTTACGTGTATGCTACATGTTTGAATACGTTAAAAGCTATAAGGCAAGACACCCAATGATTGATCATGCAAGAGTTAGAGGATGAAATTTTGTGACATCACTGATTAACACTACCTATCATCAGAATAGCAGGACCATATGATACAATCACTGGTAACATACTAGACTCACTTCCTACATCAATATCATTCTTGGCAATGTTGTACTCACTCAAACATGATCAATCACTGCTTTACCCCAGGATAGGTCAAACAAAAGTAGCTAACCTCTGACTTCCCTATGCTGGTCTGGACCAGTTCCACTATGTGTTGAGCATGAATGCCTTCCATTTTCAGGGATATCTGGGCCAGAGGACAGGCCATTAAATTCAAGGTCATCTGGACTTCATCCTTCAGCCACTTCATTTCCTGTTCCAATTCCTGAACCATCTCCTTGAAGTATTCCTTTTGAATAGCCACTTCGGACATGGTGCTTGAGGAGGGTATTGCACATCTAGAGCTTGATATGATTGAGTTCACAATGCAATTTGGCAAGCATGTTAAGCATAACTGAGCTAGATCTAACAAAAGGCCATATTATGTATGGACAGACTAGGCAAATTGGGAAATTAGTATGTACTAGATAACAGAAGCATTTAAAAAAATAAACAAGGCTGCAAGGCCTATACCTTTGATCAGCAGGTACATAGAGACATGGTATGCAGAGAACCCACACAGCTGGGAGTTTGTGTCTCACCAAATGCTGAACCAACATATTTTGCATAGGAATAATTCCATGACAACTTACCAGTCTTTTGATGCATGACTATCCTCTTTAGTTAGCTAGGCATAGTCAATCCAGGGTAATCCAGTTCAAGTTAATTCCAAGGTGACAGAACAGTCATTCTGGGGAGAAGGCAAGAGAACTCATACATACAACTGTTGCATCCTATTAGGTCAGGTTGGATCTCTGCACAGCATGGTTCTCAAACTGGGGGGTGCAAGAGGGTCCCAAGGGGGTGTGACAGGTCATGTGAGTTTTTATTTATCCACTACAATCAGCAATTTAAAAAATTATGGAATATTTTTATTCAATATATATATTATTAATATTATTTGAACTAGAAAAAGGGTCACATTTCTTCAGGTCTTTCTCCTGGAGTACAAGACTAAATGAAAGCAATTCCAGGCAGACTTTTAAATTTGATTCCTTTTTTCAAGAGGTTTAAATTTCCATCTGTGATTTCCTACAATTCAAATCAAGATGACAAATGAATTATGTGTCCCTGTGGGCTGTAACTTGAATGCTCGATGAATGTAGCATCTATGCACTCATTCTGTCTAAATAAATACTTGAAAAAACTCCTTGCCACAGAAGAGCTGAGTTCCTCTGGCAGGGCAAAGTTTCTGAAGACATTTCTCTGTCATGTGTTTGAAAATGCAAGCTACATCCGAGAAATGATTGCAAACATAGGGGGGTGAATCAGGCCAAACTGGAGCAATTGCATGTCTTCAGACTTTAAAATTCCATAATTCTGGCAATAATGAACCTATCTTGACAAAATTTGAAACATCAATAAGTCATGTCAGAGCAATTCTTTCAATATATTTGGGCAGTGTTTGAAGCATTTTTCTGGGACACACCCAACAGTGAAAATTGAATTTGTCCCACCCATAATGCATCTTTGCCTTAGTACACTCAGAACATTCCTCTGCCAAACAAATATAGGATGGTAAAAAAAAAAAAAAAACACTCTACTGTTTTCTATGGGAAAAACACAGTTTCATAAATTCAACAAAAAAAATTACAGTGGATACGCAATAGATATTTGACAGTTACAAGGCATTAAAATGCTTGCCAGCTTTTTTTCAGCACCCCAGCCTAAATTATGCAATGCCCATTTAGAGGTAAATTAAAGGTGCTTAGAGATGACATGTTTTTGCGCTGCTGTTGACCGGGTGACCAAGGGAGATAACAAAAAAGCTCTACTGTTTTCTTAGAGGAGAAAGCATGATTTGTGTATTCGAGGGAAATATATAGGATTGATAAACTTTTGATATTGGACATATAGGTGTTAAGAGGATTGTTTGAGTTTTTCTCAGAACAATTCTTTGAACTGTGCATAGGGCATATGAGCATGAATCATTTGTTCTCCACATTGAGGGTGGTGGAGCTTTTTTGTAATCACCCTTGGTCACCCAGTCAACAGCAGCACCCTCTATTGGAATACAGCATCATCTTGCAGAAGTGAAAAAAAAACCTCTTAGACTCGTGAACCTCTCTGTCTTGAATCAGCTGGATCCAATTTCCCTTGAAAAATTCAAGTTGAAAAGTTAATTGAATTCTGAGACAGTCAAGCACAGGTCATCACCTCACTTGAGGTGGAATGCTCCATCTCCTAGCACTGTTAATTCACTAAATGGGCATTGCATAATTTAGGCAGTGGTGCTGAAAAAATGCTGGCAAGCATTTCAACACCTTGTAACTGTCAAATATCAATTGCATATCTGCTGTAATATTTTTTGCTGAATTTATGAAACTGTGTTTCTCCAAAAAAAGAAAACAGTAGTGCGTTTTTTTTTAACCACCCTATACTTGTACCTTGATTTATTTCAAACAAATGGCACAACATTACAAACATAATATTCACTTTCAGAATGCACTTCAACTGCTATTAGAGGCAGTGTCTCTCTAGCTTTGCCAAGGATTATAGGTGTCCTCAGAATTGGCACTTTTTTCTGTCCCACACATAATGGTAGTGTCACAAATAGGCTAATTGAAAATGGTGAGCTGCGATTTTTCACCTAAGGACGTCATCATACCTGCAGGAATTACACATAATTGCAATCATCATAGTTCTGAAATAATTTTGGAAATTAATTGCTTTTTGCTTTTACCTGCAAATGTCAAGCATAATTGTCCCACCCGTAACACATGTCTTTCATGCTTACCCTGTTCCAACTGACAGACACAACTGCCCATGCTGATGCGCATTGCTGCGCCATGATAGGAGACAGCTTGATAAAGGTTGCACATATAAGAGGCGACATTTCGAATCAAAATTGTCCCACCCGTAACGTCTTTTGTTAACTCTTTAAAAACATAATTAAACGTCATTAGATTTATTTTGAAAATTAATGCTGCTTGGCATTGTGGATGATAGTAAAAATCCAAAATTGTAGCATCCTAAGTTAAACCGTTTCAGAGATATCATAAGACAACGTTTTTGACAAAATGGCCAAAATTATGCATACTACAAAATGTGCAACTCTTTATCTAAGTATTAAACAACCTTCAGTAAGGAATCCAATGCAAGTTCTTAAAAACAGCTTTGTGTTTCTATGCAACATGTATATGATAATGAAATATTAAAAAATTAATCCAATTTTAAACATCTGCAATGCTTGTCCCACCTGTAACTTTCATTACGGGTGGGACAAAAGTATCATGTGGATGCAGGATGACTTGAAATGATGAGTTTCATCCCTTGGGGTGGTTACTTGGGTACATACCAACAATATAACAATCTAAACAATTTCGACCCACAGTGACCCTTTCGACCCATGGTGACCCATTTCGACCCATTGTGACCTTCCCTGAATCTCACTATTTAATAGTAGCCAGGGTTGACCAATAGAGATTCAAGGTGACCCATGGCAATCATAAATTACCTAACTTGATCACCCTTTTTAAATTTTAGCAAACTTACATCACCTTAGGAAAATGAGGCCCAAGTTGGGTTGATTGGACAATTTCAGTAAATTTGGGTCACCATGAGTCACCTGCAGTCACTCTGGATCAAATTTAGTCACTATCTCAATTTTAGCATTCTTCAGTCACCCTAGAATAATTAGGCCCAAGTTGGGTCAATCAAACAATTTCGATCACCTTGGATCACTTTTAGTCAACTCTGGCTACTATTAAATAGTGAGATTCATGGTAGGTCACTATGGGTCAAATGGGATCACTGTGGGCTGAAATAGGTCAAAATGGGTCACTAAGTGCAACTGTAGGTCAAATGTGTCACTGCTTCCATTTTTGTAAAAGCATATATCACTTTCAGATAATTAGGCCCATATTCAGTCAATTGGACAATTTAGGCCACTTTGGGTCACAATGGGTCACCCACTATCATTTTGGGCCACTTGGACCAGACTTTGAGATTAAGGGAACCCACAAGTTTCAGAATCAACTCAGATTAGCTTGTAGGTTTCAGACAATCTAGGCCAGAAATGATCCCCATGTTATTCCCTATGATTCCTGACTTTTGTAACACCCTGTATATATTAGATTTGTGTCAGAAGTCTGTAATGTTTTTTAGTATCATCATAATTTTTAGAAATTCAAATAATAAAAAAATCAAATTAAAAATAAAAAAGTAAAACTTACAAGACCACTAGACTGAAAATAATGTGTCCCACCCGTAACAAAATTTGTTTGTTGTTGGGATACTTATGCATTACTGTCAAATTGCCCTGCTTGTTTCCATTTATCTGCCAAATTTTATTTCAAAGAATGTGTGTCCCTGTCAAGAAAAATAGCTTTAATAATGACCAATAATTCATACCTGAATCTGCATTAGGAGTGGAAGTAGATTTGATCAAAACATTTGTCCCACTCGTAACACTCCTAAGCCAGTATTTGAAAACCGCAATGAGGTAAAATTCAGTTGTACTCGTTTCATGTGTACAGGCACATGAGACAGGAAATCCACTCCACAAGTAGCATTAAGCTGGGCTAATTCTACATGTGTCAGGAGGACTTAAAGCTTCTTGTTATGGGTGGGACATTTTCAGTGCAGTTGATTACTTCAAACAGCAATAAATATAATATGAAGGGTCCTGGAGCTCAACTACACTAGACTTAGATGCAGGTGAACATCAGAGACAAATACAGATTGACAGAAATGAAAAGTTTTACTGTAGAATTTTCAGTTTTTGTCTCCTTGGAATTGCTCCTTTTTGGCCTGATTCACTCAGGGGATCAATTGCTCAATCGGTAGCATGTTGGGTTTAAGTGAATGGAACAAGAGTTCAAAATGCAACAGAGTCTGACCTTTCTTTATGATATAGGCCCAAACATCTTTGAGATAAAACATTGAGAATGAAAAATCCCCATCTCTACATGTGGAACATCAAAGAACATGGGGGGGCCAAATACATATCCCAGAAGAAATCATTGTAGAGAGGGGTGGGAGTAAGCAGGACCCACAGGGAGTGGGGTAGCGATGAGAATGAATGGGAATTAATCCTATTGGAGCAAAACTCTATGTATTCCAAATTTGGAACCTTCAAACATGTGTGAGGAAGACTGTATGCCCATTTTGTTTAATCTTTCTCTCTCTCACAGACAACGTCTGTGTCATACCATACCATGCAGTATTTCAACCAAGACATCAGGCCAGGGTTTAGGAGGAGCAATGTGATGACACAAGCTGAGCTGGAACCCATGTGACAGCATGAGTTTCAACTATTAACAGTGAAGATGAAGGAAGTTGGGCTGCCTAAACATAATCCATAGAGTACTTAACGACATAAATATGACTTTCATTGTAGGAAGAGGGAAGTAGGATCATTGTAAAGCATCTACATTATTAGAAAAAACTGCTAAAGCCAAATGAGTCTCAACACAAGAAATGTTTTTTTTTTTTTAATGGCAACCAAGTATCTCATATTCAGATTTTCCCAGCTCTATGTATACTATGCTTGGGCAACCCAATTTTCCACATCAGCTATTACTCCCTTTCTCTTTCTATTATACAGGCTGACAATTCTCAATGTTACAGATTTTAATGGTTTGCCATGTACACAATTCAACTGAGAGTGTTGAGTGACACATTTCTGGAAAGCTTGTCTCATGCAGTATTGCTTCATTGCAGATTTGTTAACATGAGGTGTCAATATTTGCTAGGGCAAAGGGTGTGGATAGTGACTAAATTCATGGAGACAAGGTCAAACTGTGGGAATGCTGAAATCAAAACAGAGGGCATCTTGAACACATTTTAGCATAATTCCAGTGTAATTTGTCAAATTTCTTTATCAATAAAACTGCAGAGCTTTGGCCTTAAATTGAGCAATTACGTATCAGTAGTAAGTTATAAAAATGAGAGCTTATGAAAATCAGTAACGCTGAAAATTGTCATCCTGTATATCAGACAGAAAACTCCACTGTTCTCCTGCTAACAATAGACAAAATGTTGTGTGATCTCAGCAGGCCAAGGCTACTTTGAAGAGTCTGATTTATAAGTTGATCCTCTTGAGTTAGACATGGTGATCTATACAGATCTTGGGGCGTAATTGACAGGTTCACAATGAATCTGATGGCAATTCAACTCACCTCCGTGTGCGGTCCGTGCCTCCAAGCCCCGCAGGAACGAGAATTGGTGTAGGTATGGGCACTATGATTGAGGATGGGGAAGAAATGTGATCTCTAATGTAAAACGTAGGCCTAGGGCTTAGGCCGAGGCCTAGAACAAAGTATGGAAATTGGTAGGCCAAGATAGGAATTGGGCTAATGAGACGAGAACATGGAAACTCGAAAAAGGCGGTTTGCAGGGGTGCTTCCTGTGCTCCTCTTTTATTGATGAAAATTTCATACCAAACATTAGATTAAGAAGTATTTTGCTCCTCAGGCATTGAAAATATTTTAAAATAATTATGAAAGGCCTACAATGAAATAAACCTGCATTTCTTTTACAGCTTTTGTCGACATGTGTACGCATACTGGTATGACGCGTCTATGGTTTGACGTTTTTGCATACTACTGTTTCACATCAAAGGATGCAGAATGCGCATGCGTGCACATGCAAGTGGCCGCACAGCGTGAAGGTACCAGATAATGATTTTCAGGGATTTTGCGAAGAGTTCATCCACCCTTTCAATGCAAACTATTATTTCCTTTATATGGTATTCGGCAAATGTCCCATGAGTCGAAAAAAAAAAACCATTAATGTCAGCACCCCTATTGACATGTGTGAACTCTTTGCAAAGCCTATGTAATACCCCTTTACGGAAGTACCAAACACAGACGTAATTACAGGATGTATTTGGATATTTGGCTATATATGCGCCAAACTTGGCTGGAAGGAGTTAAGGGACTTTACATGGCCTAAACATGATGTGTCATATTGTGTCATATGTGTCAGATGATTGTGTCATATGTTTTAAATAAAGAGCCCATGTGTGGCTGTATTTGACATCATGTGCTAAGTCTATTTGTAACTCCTTTACGGGACTGGCTTCATCAATGGATTCATTCATGTTTTCACGTGTCACACAAATCATTTCCGTGTTCCATTCAATCTGACATGACTGCAATTTCGAGATAAGATACGGATTACATTCACAATAAATGTTCTCTATACCGTGGAAGCAACGACTAAATGACATTTGGAATGATACAGTAACTTGTGACCATCCGCAAGTTGAGCGTGTCGGCGAGCACTGTGTAAACGAAACACAGGAATTAACTTCCCTGGATTTTCATTTACATGGTAGTTACATTATTTCCTCTCCTCTTACATTTTTTTCCCAAACACAGCATATGTAAACGAGGTGAAGTGAGAGTGATATATACAGGGTGTCCCACTCGGGAACCGGACAAAACGGCCCCGGACGAAACGGCCCCGGACGAAACGTCCCCGGACATAATGGTCCCAAATGCAATGTAGGACATAATGGCCCCACACACCAGAAAACCAGCTTCTTTGAATATGAATTAATTTTTTCCTCTCAGATATTGATATGCTGTTCAAATTATTAAAATCTATTAAAATAGTTATAATTCATTAACACAATTTATTCAATTAATGCAATTTTACTTGACCCATCCCACCCTATTTACCCTCAAATCCTCTGATCCTCCAATCAGCACTAGCAGCACCCAACCGCCTTCATTGATGACTATTTTCTGACTTTCACTTTTACTGCAGCTACATTTGTATAAAAGAGCAGTTTCCCTCTATTCAAATATTCATACGTTTACGGAGTACAGAAAAAAAGAAGGAAGATTCTCCCGTGGAATAGGTGATTGTATGCATGGTAAGTATTTTATATTTATCATCCTGTTATACCTCATTGGTAGCATTACTTGCCGAAATATACCTTATTCATTCTTGAGTGTGTATTATTGATTTGAATACGGTCAAACAACGCAAATTTGCAAGAAACTGCAGGGAATCCCCCCAAGAAGAGGCAGAAGCGGGTATACAAGGAAATGCAGCAGAGGCTGAGAACACTCAGTATGGAGAGGAATTTAAATCCATGGTCATGTCATCCGATTTTAGTATTTGTTGTACTTAGAAAAAAAATTGCATCCATTGAATAATTTTTTTAATGAAAATAATTATTTTAATAGATTAGTAATATCATTTAACGATTCAAGCATCTTTGAAGTTTACAATTATACATCCGACAGAATTTGAACAGCACATCAACATCTGTGAGGGAAAAATTAATCCTTTTTCAAAGAAGCTGGTTTTCTGGTGTGTGGGGCCATTATGCCCTACATTGCATTTGGGACCATTATGTCCGGGACCATTTTGTCCGGGACCATTTTGTCCGGGGCCGTTTCGTCCGGGGCCGTTTTGTCCTACATTCGTCCCACTCGGAAGTATCCATTTTATTTTCCTGATTATTACAAGTATGCAGTGGCGGCTCGTAAGGGTAGGCAGGGTAGGCAGTGCCTACCCAGTTTAAAATCAGAATTCTCAAACTATTATTTGCTAATTTATTCTGGAAGCAGAATTAAATTATGTGTTCAGAGTAGGCACGGAGTTGCCAGCCTACGCTGGCTAGGCTCAAATCTCCACGAATCCTATGCAGGATCGAGAAGAGGGAAAGAGGGACGAGAACCGTAGTCCTGGAATGAGACAGGGTAGGCTTGCCTACTTGCGTAGTTACTCCTTACGCAGGAAGAAAGGATGAGAGTCGCTTGCTCGCGCCCTCCGCTCAGAAGCACTTGCTTGTTGAAGCCTTGATTGTTGTCACACCTGATCGGACCTACTCTACATTATGATTCCCGGTCAATTCCCTGACGGTCAATTTCCCAACAGTCAATTCCCCGAATGGTTATTTCCCCGAACGGTCAATTCCCCGTTTGGGATTTCCCCAAAGGAAATGGATTTGTTCCCATTTAGTTTCCTGTCTTGCACATCATGCATGGGGGAGTGGGGAGAGGAGAGATGTGGCCGCCCCCTGCCAAGCCGGAACCAAAGGGAGGGGGGTCTAGGCAAACGCAAGGAAAGGGGAAAGTCGCTAATATTCTCTAATCCTGGAGGGGAGGAGTTTTTGGACTTTCCAGTCAACGTTCCTCAATTTCATGCTTTGCTGAAATCCTCTTTTCCTTAGCTGGGGCCAGAATGGCTGGCTGGGGCCAGTGACCATCACCTTGACAAGGTTGTGGGCCTCCAGCCGCATGTCCCACTTGCCAGTACTGGCCCGCCACCTTCCGGCCCACTGAAGGGCCAGCACATCACCAGTTAGCTCGTTTGTGGTGTTCCACTAGCTGGGAAAGGTCCTAATATCTCCATACATATCTGAACTTTATAGAAATCTTGGTTCTAGAGCCTACTCAGAAGATTACACAAGAGTACCAAGATGCCCACTGCTCTCCTCTTCCTCATTCAATATGGATCTCTGGGGGGGAGGGAGACTTATTGTGGTCATCGAGTAATAGAACTCATCGTATACATTTTAGGACATTGCCAATATAGTCTCTCTACCCGTACCGTGCACTTCTGAATTCTCACACTTAACTTCAGCATTTAATAATTCCCCGAATCTTATATTGCAAAAAAAATACATCATAATTCCACGATTTCCTAGTACCTGTTTATAAATTGCACGTTAAAACAAGGAAGAAACACTTTTGTTAAATCAGGAAGGCAGGTACTTCATTGCTTTTGTAGGTGCAGGGAACAGGGTACCATCTAGTGGGGACCCTTGGTACTGCATCTAGGGGAGTGCCAGTTACATTTTCCATCCCGAACTGGTGGAGGGTCACCAGCTCAGAGAGAGCTGGTGGCCCTTCTACCTACAATAGGTAGCGGGCCAGCAACTGCATGTCCAACTTGCCGCCACGTTCCCGCCCCCGGCATAAATCCGCAAGTGTAGTGCCTGGGCCGCTTATGGCCCACTACTTTTGCGCTACTTGGATATTTGTTAAGAATGGCCAAAACATGATATGGACTGAACTGTTTCCAAACATTGCTAAATTCAGTACTGTACAATCCTATACATATGCCTGTATTTGGAAGTTCCGTAAGGGAAGATGGTATACGGAATAGGGTTTAGATGTGGAAAACGGCAATAATTTCGCGCACTCCCTATAAGAACTACCTGCCAATCAATGTTCATAGTTCGGGGATGTGGTTTTCAACATCGACGTGATCACAAGGAATAACCTTTCCTTTGATCAGAAAAGTCCTCTTCGAATGAATCCAATTGAGATCCAGTGAATCTCTTTGCTGATTCCTCAAGTGACAAATAGATATGCTCTGCTGCACCTTGAAAGTTCGGAAAAAATACTTTCCAAGTTGAAATGACCACAAGCTATCCATTTATTCCTGCAACTTTCATCTAGTTGTTTTCTTACACGGTGAGCCAAAATTTGCGCAGCATATTGATTGTTATTGTTTATGCAATAAATTCTCAAAGTGATGTAAGTGCAAGCACGTCTGAGAACGCCTGAGACACAAACGCTGAACTTTGCAGGTGTTACACATTCAATCTTAATCGAGTACAGGAGTTCTCCCTTGGTTATTTTCCTTTTTTTTATTGTAACATCACCATCTCCACCCTTCCCGCCCGTAGTATAAGGTGACCAGATTTCTCTGTCGTGAAAGTGGGACGCCCAAAAAGTACTTCCCCTAGCCTCTAAAAAAAAATAATAATGTGAATGTGTTTGTTGCACTGACGTTTATATTTATCATTGTCGAAACATGAATTAGAACTGTTATTTAATTATTGCTTCCACTATAGCGCAACCACCTTTAAAGTTGGGGAGGGGGGGGGTTCGGGAAATTTCTCATGACCTGTCTCTCATATATCTCCGGAATGCAAGAAATGAAACGAATAAAAATCTCATGATGTGGTGAAAACGATACAAACACATTCGAGATCTGTAACAAAGATAAAGAACTGAATTAATTTCGGGATTCGGACCAGATTTCATTGCACAGACATGCAACTGGAAATTTGTTAACCTGTACGTTGTTCATGACTCTCATCCAAGTCATCGTCCTTCCTTTTTCAGAAAAGATTCAGCAGCATCACATGTGCAGGATGCTTCCTCACTCTCGTATTTGCCACTTTCCGGCATCACTCTCATGAGCAGGGATTTGGAGAGGGGGGGGGGGGGGGGGGGGGGGGGGGGGGGGGGGGTACACGCGAGTTCCACACAAAAGAAAGTACCCACCCAGCCTATCACCACCGTGGTCGTTCAGACCGCCTGAACCTCCGCCACCTAGACTGCGCAATTGTGCGTCCAGCATTTTACTTACTAAGGGCTCAAGTTATGCCGAAGTTGTGTATTTT